TCACTTGTCAGTCAACAAAGAAACAATGCTGTCCATTTTCTGGTGAGGAGGATCTCCATGAGGAGCTCGCCCTTGGTCAAAATCTAGATCAGATATAAGACTAATTAATTTTAGATAAATTTTTCTTAAATCAACTTTTGTAATTACAAACGTTTTTGTAACTTAAGATTTTAAGATTAGGGTTGATTATATAGGAACTTAAGTTTAATACAAACTATAAAAAAACATGTTTTACATGCTTAGGGTCTAGTCAAGGTTGCCAGCCTGCACAAACTGTATGTTGTAGGCTTAAATCACGTTTGTTCACTCTGAAACCCGAACAAAGTAGGGTTCACAGAGCCATGGGTGGGACGTACTAAGAATAGTACATCTTATCTTTGATACTTTCAACAACACAGGGTTCAAACACTACACCTTGTTGTTTTTCTTTTACAAGAAGTAATAAAACTCTTAAAAACAAAAAAATAGGGCATGTCGATCTGAGGGCACGCATTCAGCAGTACACTGTGGAATATGTTTAGAGTTTCGTGCAGGCTGTGATCATTCTCAGCATCTTGCATTATTCAGCTCCATGAACAGGTTATTCCTTCCCTAATATCTTTTGAACAAGCAACATTTTGTTTACATCACACTCAAGTAAATGGTTGAGGTGCCTTATAGCGCTATCAAACCAAATGCCTAATCTGTTATTCAGGTCTGTGTTTGGGCTCTAGTGGTTGAGCTCCAAGTAATAGAGCCACCGTTGATGATAGCAATACCACAATAGAGTCTGACTGTGTTTAAGTCTGTACCTGAGCTGCTCATAATGAATCCTTCTCACAATGCACCAATAAAATATATTACATTTATATGCAAATTAGAAGCTGGTGATACCACGTTGCCAGCAGGTATTAGGAAATAAGCACATCTTAATGAATTACCTTCTGCTTGCTGGCCACAGTATTATATAGAGCTGCTCACTATTCAGCACAAAGAGGGTCAATTTTAGTTTTAGTGTTGCTTGCTCACCTTTGACAAATTTGTTTTAAGAAGCAGATAAAGTCAGCTCTTTTTCCTGCTGCAGAAGGAAGGCATAGAAGGCAGCGGTGGAGGCTCTGGCAGGATTTGATGTGATGCCAGCGGGGGCGCAGAGGAAAGTTTAAACTGCAGAAACAACAACTGAGAACATGATACTGTGCACACCTAACAGATGCTGCTGCCATGTTACTGCCCAAACCTACTGTCTCGAAAGAAATTACTTTCATATACCTGCCTGGAGCTCTATAACTTATTGATACTTACTTAATGCTATTTAATGTAGTAACTGCCTCAAGTGTCACCATGACAGATATTTTCCTCAGTAGGTGGAGACTACGCTAAAAAAAACTAAACTAAAAAAGAAATCAATGTAGCTTTAACCATGCCATGATCTTTCTCTAATCTTAACCCAATTATTACTAGACCAAATCTGACAGAATTTGGGAAGTGATGCAAATCCCTTCCTCCAGTATTAAAGTCCAGTGCTTTGTAAACTTGACCCTAAACTCCAGCCTGATCCCTGTATCTCCTTTCCGCTATTCTTGGAACATAAAAAATATTGCCATTTTACATACAAAACCCCATGCTCCAATGACATCTTCTCCAAAACAAAATTGGCAGAAAATGCAAAAACATATTTTATAAGAGAGGGTTGCACTGCCATGTGATGCACTGCACGCAGGAACAGAACCATCTTCTGCTTACGTAAGTGATTCATGTTTTAGGCTAAATGCCTTTTTTTGACTGACGCCTGCTAGTAAAACGGCTCACCTGTCAATAGACAGGAGCGAGCTGACATCACCTACTCGTGCAGCACTGTCAGTCTGGCTCTCACTTGAGCACATAGGAAGGCTCATCTGCTGCTTCCCCAGTGTTGAAGGATAAGTGGTGACCATATGAAGGAAATATCAACCAGCTGCAGACAAGGTGCCAAATCCAACACATTTTTACTTATCAGGCTAATTAACCTATCTGGAGTGAGGCTGTGGCTCTATATCACCAACCATCTGCTGATGCGCTGTCTGTGCCATTACTGTCTCCTCCACCCACGTCTCAGCAGACACGCCACCCATCAATCACAATCTGTTGCTCTCACGCGCTCTCTCATGATTAAGGCCTTCTGTACCATCACAGGCTAATTATTAATGAGAGGGACATGCAAAAGGATATATGAACGGACAAAGAGATGACATCCCATCTGCTGCTTTATGCCACATTTAGGCTGGAGGGAAAGGATAGTAAATATGAGTCATCCTGCATTAAAAAAAAAATGTCATGTCACCGTGCAGCTGGTAGACACTTCAAAATACTATTCACCACAGCTTTCGCATTGTAAATATAACTGCAAAACACTCTTCATCTGTGCTTTTCACCTGGTGAACACTACAGGATAACATCATTCATCTCAGCTTAAAGAATAACTCAGTTTATTAAAACTTGGGTTTGGCCATCATTCCCTCCAGTAATAATAAACATGTCCTCACCAAGTAAACTGCTGAGGCAAGTAACACAAGCACACTCACAAATCAGATGCAGTACTTTATTTTTTATGTTTTGGCATGTTGCTTTTTTCAGAATAAAACCCACGTGCATCAGAGTGGCTGAGCAGAGTCCATGATGCGAGTCAGGTTGTGGTGCAGTACTCCTGACGCACCAGGCAAACTCAACGACGGAGGAGCGCTACTGTTTTGAGACGAAGGAGATGATAGACCATTTCTCATGCCTCCGCATTGGAAGCCGCCTCACCAGCGTATGCAGTTACTGATACCTACATTGTTACCACAGCAACCCATGCAGATAGGTTGGTGATGTTTGGACACACAAATCCAATGTGATCACTGGCAAAAAATAACAGTGTGGACATTATGTCTTAAAGATCTGATCTAAGTAAGTAAGTAAGTAAGCAAATATTTCCCACCACCTGAGCTTCCCCGCTCGCCACCTGCAAATCATTCCCTCAAGAGCGACCCACTACTTATACTGGCACAGTTCCTCTTATGCTTTGCCAGGTTTCCATTGACATATTTTTATGTACATTTTGAAGTATCGCGTTAGAAAAGGTTGATGGAAATGAAATTTGAAAAAACGTCCTCAATTTTGCAAAAAGGTTATTACGCTCTTTTGGGGTGTTTTTTTGCCTTTGTCAAAAAAGAATTAATGCGCTAAATGGGAGATGGAAACAGCTTTGTCAAATAAGTTCTGACATAGCAAACATTTAACTCACATGACTGATCAGCTGATTCTTTGTCTTTGTCTTCGTTGAGAACATGAAACATGGCCAATACTAGTTGACATGAAAGAACAATAACAAACAATAGAAACACATTCCTGAAGACCTCCAGCGTTTTACAGCTATGTGGAACATCAGTGTCTGATGAAACTACACTTTGTGTAGCCTAGTTTATTTGCTCCACACCAATTGATGGAAATAGCCTAATTAGCATTTTACTTTATTTCTTCTTTTTTTGCAACATTTCAAAAGTTCACTTAAAATTCACTTGACAATTACATGGAAACACAGCGACTGTCTAGTGTATTTTTCCCAGCATGCAGTGACCTGTCGATTATTCTGCCTGCCTGATCCTTTGCCTGACTCCACTTTGATGATTCTTTACCTTGTCCCTTAAGGATTTGTCTGCCTGATCTGACTGCCTGGGGCCTTGTCTGTTTCTGCAACCAATTAAATACTTTAGACTTTTACCATACATATCTATCTCTGTATCATGCTTTTAGGTTCAGGCCTACCTGTGTTTTCTGGGCCAAAATATGTGAAATATGATCAGATTTTGTAGTTTTAGTAAAATGAAGCTTAGCGGACGTTCAGTCAGGAAGACTAACTCTCTTCATGCTTACTCTATGATTTACTCTCCCCCTTCTGTCTGTGTCGGTTCCCACTTCTAAATCAATCTCCTGACTGAGGGAATTCGCTCAGTTAAACCAATCTGATTTTGCCATGACATCTATGAGCCAATCATCTTTTTGCTGTCAAGTTTAAAAAACTTTTCCTTTCTCTGCTGCTGTGAGCTGTCAGATCGGTGCAACCCTCCGCCACCCCGTTCACCTCAGGTCTTCATCACAGCCAGTTAGTCCTTCCAGTGAGCCCATCCGAAGTCACCCTCCAGATCTGATTTCTCTTCCTCCTTCACCACCACCACCACCACGGTCTAGACTCCTATATATTCCTGTACAGCTCATGGCATAACCCCTTTAAAATATGATGTTTGGGTTAAATGGGGTCTAATCGCCAAACACTCTTCACTTTCTTCAACCTACTTTCATCTCAATAAATTATTTGTTATTTATATTCTTTATTTATATTATTCTTTCTGCAATTAAGTCTCTCCTGAATGAAATGCTAGCTGCAACATTCAAAACCATTTGAAGACTAGATACAGACCACATGTCAATACCAGGTGTAAATGGGGCCATAGAGTTCCTGCAAAGGCCATTCATAACCAAGACCTGCGACATAAGAAAAACTGAGGAGAGATATTCAAAATAATATAAACTCAACTCCTTGCATTTGAATCAAGCAGTGATTCGACAAATTACAAATCTACATCTGACCGACACATACAACAGTAAGAAAGTGATTATAAATCTGTTTTACAACATGTCAACGTATAAACAAATGTATGATAGCAAAAATTACAAAATGAAATCATTTCAATCAGGGTACCTTGAGAAGGTTCCAGGGGGTCCCCCGCAAAAATGGCAATAATTTAATTTTTTTACTTTATTCCATTCATAAGTAAAACAATGACACAATGTTTAAATATTTCGATCATGGGTTTCAAACACTATAATTTTATGTAGTAAAAATATCTAAAAGCAAAAATCTTATCAAATGGGGTCCATAGTCAGTTAAATGTGTCAATTAAAGGGTCCTTGATGTGAAAAAGTTTGAGAACCACTGATTTAGATAATATAAGTGTTAAGAACTGATAATTCTGGACTCAAAAGCAGACAAGGACAGGACTAGGTAGAAGTACAGTCAGTTTATTTTGAGCGTGCAAGAGAAGGTGACTTAGGCAGGGAAGGGTTGGAGCTGGGCAGAGTGGCCACCAGGAAGCGGCAAGCAGACGAATAGGTCCCCAGACTGGCAGTGAGCTGTGGGCGAGTGCTGGGTCTTCCAGGCTGAAGTGACACATTAGATGGCAAGGTTAGTCCGGAGCCAGAGAGAGCAATACAAGGATAATCTTCTAAAGGAAATAACTGGCCGTAGGATAATACCACTCAGGTTAACCGCCGATCTGGCGAGGAATGAACTGAAGGACCGGGGCTGAGCAGCAGGAACTGATTAGTGAAAAGAGGCTCAGGTGCAGCTGGAGCTTGGCAGCAGGAGCCAGAGAGTGTCGCCACGCCCATAGAACACACAAACACAGAGAGAGAGAAGGGGGGAGCCTTTCTCCTTTCCCAAATTTCTGCCTCTTCGACTCCTCGCGGCGCACCTTAGTCCCTCCCACCCGAGATGCAATTCTCAAGGGGTCGAGGAAACAGGCATTTAAGGAAATGAGATGTCCTTTCCTCTGTGCCGTCATTTTAAAGCGACGTCAAATATGACCAGTTGCACAGCTGCATCATCTTTCCAAAGCTGTGAGGTCTGTCAGAGCTGCAGACCAGCTTTTGGGACTAAAGGCTACAGATCATTTCTTCACAATCCAGAAACATGTCTGTCAACAACATCTCAAGGTTCCAATAAACATTAATAATAATTCACTAGGCTGCACAGTACTACTTTTTTTGCATAGGCTACCCCTTTTGCCTGTAAACAGGCGATCATTTCAGCCCTCAGCCTGATGAGATGAGCATTTCATCAGTCCCTTTACAAAATGACACAGTAACATTGATCTCATATAGCCCCAATTACAGCTGTCATCACAGGACTTTACTGTTGGAATGACGTGCAGACTACATGGGCACTAATAACATGAAACACAGCAGATCAGTGCTGAATGGTCTGGTTGATATTACAGCCTAATAATTTGACTTCAGCAGCTCTTTGCACTGTTTTGTCACGATTATAGCAGCTGAACTGGTGGGATTGGGCGGATCGGAACTCATATAGGCCTATACGCATAGGCTATATCATCCATCGGTCTCCCACCAACTAATTATTTTATCAGATTTAGAGACCAGCACCTGTATGGACATTTTACACACCTCCACCGGTCCCTGTGGCTTTCCAGGCCAGTTCATTCTTGTGTGTTTATTGATGGATCAGTATTTATTTTTAACAATTTACCTGCAGTAATAGGCGAAACTTGACAGGACAGACAGAGAAACAGAATTAAACTTTCAGCTTCTATCCAGACGCTCTGATAGAGCGCAGGATTGAGGACGGCTGCTTTACTCCAAACAGTTTCTCTGTATGAACCTGGGCTGTGTGTGAGACCCTTTGGATGTGTAGAAGAACACAGAACATGAATTAACATTAGATCTTGACCGATCCTATCGGTGCGTCGGGTGATTTAAATATTAATTTATGTTGCTGTTGCTCGTGCGTAAATGCGCACAGCTTCTCTGGAGAGGCGCTTCATCCTGCTGTTATTCCGTGTTCTTTTTTACGATCCTGCTGCCCATCCACACATCACATTCAACAATAACAACATCAGTGATATCAAAGTGAAATGACATTGAGGAATGCGGTTAGAACTACAACAACTTTATGAGGTTTTCGATTGCACATTTGATTATTTTTAATAGGCTTAACAAATTCAACTTATGAATACAACAGAAACACTGCAGAGTCCTGCTCCGTCCATGGGTTGGTCCAGCTTCATATCACGCCTCTTTTAAACGTCACAGCAGCTGAAAAGACTTCCACAAAGGATACACTGATGTATCCTCGCTCACAGCTCCTCGATATGCATTATAAGAATTGAGATTTCCTTCAAGATGGAGCGCTGAGATCGATTTCCAGGTCACAGGCTCGAGGATCGAGGAGGTAGAAATTTGAGAAACGAGACCCAAGGTAACAGACAGGAAACAAGGGGAATGGTGGAAAACAGAGGTAAACACAAGGGATGAGGAGGAGACACTGCTGGCTCATGACAGTAAATGTAGATACAAAGTCTAAAGAAAATACAGTAACCCATCCCAGTCATTATCACCTTGTTCTGAAACAAGGGGGCGTTTTCGCTTTGGCTTGATTTGGACATATGTGAACACAACAGTCACACTCTGATCCCGATCCTGAACCAGAACAAATCATTGTGCTGCTTTACAACCAATGCCAAAAGGTCTGTGGTCAAAATGGAGCTTCAGCAGCGAATGTTGCTCCACTTTTGGCAAGGTGGCCGTGAACCTTTGTATTGCTGTCTGAATTTTATTGTCTTTACAATCATTGTCTGATTGGCATCAGCTGTTTCAATCATGCTTCACAATCATTGACTCACTCACAGCTGGCTGGTTACATCCAATCACATTCATGCACTGCATCCATCACCACCAATACTCTATCACTATTACTCTGATACACTCACCACTTATACAGACTTTTCCTTAAAAATGGTAAATCATTGGGAGCCCTGAAATCTCATACTTCTACATTCAAATTTGTGGAGTCAAGTATATTTAATTTCCTATAAAACAAGCAACAAGTGTGCAGTTCAATTCCAAAGCGTTGAATTTTCAGACAAATATAAATTCAAAAAAGAAGATCATTTACAATATGTTGAAAATGCCTGCAGAACATATATGAAATTGCTCTGTGAACATGTTTACCCAGGACTTAATTGCAGCATATGTTGCCTTTACATGTCTAATAAGACAAGCTTCTTGTGCACAGATGGGACTCTTTAAGGTGGATGGCATTACAAGCCATTGCTCACTAATTAGATTTCAAGCCATTGCACATGTGCAAAGCCGCTGTGCATAAAGCCTAACACAACTGTAACTGGAGGTGTGTCGTGAACCTTACAGGCACTGTGTCATTTTTTCACAAATAAGTTAAGCCTTTTGAAGCATGCAAACACTTAAGAATTGTCTTGGAAGCTCAGCTCTCACCCCACTGAGCTCAGCGTGTAGTATTTCTCTACTTTAACCTTCCCGAACACATGCTGTGGAAAGCTGGAGGAGGACACTCAGACATACGTGAATCCTTTGTCTGTACAGCATCTGTTGCCATGTTTTGTGACTAGCTGGCCGACACCCTCATATTTGCCTTTTTATTGCTGATAAACAGCATGCCAACTTGCTGAAATCGCCTTCTCTGCACCACATCACCATCGTTGCTTTTCATGTATTACAGTCATGCTGAGGCAGGCTGGATTGTCCTTATGATGTCCCTACACAAACAAACTGTCAAACACCCCCCCTTGTGTATCTGCACTTTGCATGTGACAAGGGGAAGGTAACCAGCGCGCTTCGCCGACAGAGACCAGTAAAAAGTAAAGGTATGAACTATGAAATATTCATGACTGTATATCCAGTGCAAAGCCTTCAGCAGAGCCCCTCACAGCCTGCTATGCTCTGGTATAAGAAGCATTCACTGGTCTGTGGGAAACACATGACACAAGACATCCCTGTAAACTGGCTTGTTCCTCTGCTTGCAATTAATCTAGAGACCTCTGCGTCATATAGCAGATTTAAAATGCATAATTAAAAAAACAAAGAAATAAGGTGAAACAACGTACATTGTAATATGTATTTTCTTTTTGTCTGCATTTAGTATGTCATGGTTAAATAATAAACATGTAAAAATGTAATAACTTATGCAAATTTTTCACAGCACATTAAAATCCAATCACAACACATAGGTGTACTGCATAACAGCATTGTCCAGCAGAGAGCAGCATAGACCCTCCAAAACTGAATACAATGAGGTGTCATTAGTTTTCACCAGGAGGTGCTTTTTCTTTTTTGGCATGCCAAAACGAATCAGGACCAGTTTAGAACTAGCTTCCACTGTATTCCCTTCATATGAAATGGATGGTGTCATGTCAGTGACTTACGAGCGCTCACATAGTGTTTGGATGAAAATACTATTCACTGACGATATAGAACCACGCTCATCTGTTAAAGTACTGGGCTCAATTACACTGAATGATGGCCTTTAGCTAAAATGAGGCATCCATATTCGTTTGGTGATAAGATACTTCCGTATTTGTATGTGCAAGCTTTCGGAAAAACCTAAGTTTCCTAGTCGTAATTACAACTTGGAAATTTAGGTGAACACTAGTTACAATTTATCGTAATTGCTATAATATGCCAATAGCCCATGAGCTAGATGGCCAGAGGGACACTACTATTGACTGTACATTGATTCACATTTGTGATTGACTGTCTGTAGCTTTAAGAGATGGATTGTGCTGCAGGAAGCTGTACAAGGAGACTGTTCTGATTCCCAGGTTGTCAAATAAGGTTGTTTTGTCACGCAGGTGACCAGCCAGACTGCTGACAGAAAGCCTTTAGGAAGTCAAGTGAATATGTATAAAGAGCGAGAAAGTCTCTGATTCACAAAATTACCCACGTGTTAGAAAGGCTTTCTGGCAGCGTCACAGATGTTAAAGGTATGTCTGTAAGAGACTCTTTGGGGTGTGACTAATGCATCGGTATTGGACGACTTGGAATGAGAACGGGTTGGTGTCATAGATTGTAAATATAGATGGACGACCCGTCTTCATTTCCTCCCACTGTGCAAAAATTGAGCCATAATATCGCACATCACAGGGGATTCACTGATGACGTCATTTGGCCAGAGTCTGCGCAGTAGTGATCGAGGTTGGAGCAGCGGTATTGAGGTCCCGTCCAGGGCCCAGGGGGAGGGGCTATGACCTGATATTGCAGCCAGAGATGGTTTGGCCTCAATTCTGCCTTGTCGTCCATCTTTCTATTATCTTTCTATTCTATTATCTGTCTTATCTACAGTCTATATACAAAGGATAAGATAACGCTAATAAATGTCTGCAAGGTAGACTTTTACTTTTACGAATGACTGAAGAAAGCATAAAGTCTAGAAGGCAACAATTTTGCCAACTGAATAAATAACTCAACTTGCAGGTAGAACACTCATAACAGGTCTCTTTTTTACACTCATTTTCATAAATTTGTCAATTACAGTCCCTCCCTCAAGGCTACTTTTATTTAGGTATTTAGTGTGACATGAGTATAGAGGTGCTGCACAGATGCTCCTGTTGACAGATGGTAGTTATCAGACAGATTGTGTTGTAAGTGCTCTCCCACGAGGGTCAAGGTAAACACAAGTAATCCTACAATAAATTTATGAAAAACATTTGCCCACAGCTATTTATTTGGGTTTTTGCAAATTCTCTGCTAAGCTGTCCACACTTGAGTAAATTACCTTATTTACACATACAAAAGATATCAAATCTCTTTCTGTTAGAGTGGTGGTCGTATGAAGGTGACTCTTGCCTTTGACCTTAAGCAGAATTTTGTCAAGAATCAGTGTAGTATTGCGAAATATATGTTAGAATA